GCTATATGCGTGACAATAGACATCATCTCCAAGTATTCCAAGGTCTCATGAGACAGCATAAGTACTCCTGACTGTTCCAGTTCTAATGTTCCTAATTATGAAGATGCTCTCGCGAACATAAGTCTATAGTACGGCATACGAGTTCTTGGGTGTTGCACGCAGTCTGCATGTGTTTCGAAGTATCAAGGCAACTAAAGGAATCGAATGGCTTGAAGTCTACTTATTTCGCGTCAATTCGTATTCAAGACGTAAATCGCGGTGTTGAGGACTTCAGCGACTTTTCTGCGGCTCGTTTGACGTACCAACAGCCGCCCGCCGACCTTCGAATAGCCCACTGCCTCTCACTCTTGCGACTATCGGAGGGCCTGGCCCACCCCGTGACACTGCGCTCGGGCTCTTCTACCTGTCCACCTTTACCTTGGGGAATACCACGCCAGCGGTCAGCCGCTAGCAGAAGGCTCCCAGCACTGCCCTATATAATATCTTCACCTGTTTGCTCCAACACTCCACCACACTCTCCACTCTACAAACATTTGGGTCTCTTGGTTGCTAACAGCAGTGATTGCATTGCATACCTAGGTATATCAACTCTTTGCTTGTCGCCTTGAGCCTCCAACACTCTCCTCTTGCTGTGAGCATTGTCACCATAAAGCCTTCGGTAACCGACAACACCCCATCACTCAACATGAACCAAGCAGAAGATGTCGAAGTCGTCCTCGGCCATGAGCGTCGCTACAAGTTCCACTCGGGTACTTTGGCGCGTAATTCCACCCTCCTTGCCGATTTGTTGACCGAATGCAACGCCGTCAAATTGAACACACGCGCCAGGAACGCCGGTATCAAGACGCGCTGGATGATCGAACTCAAGGACCTGCCTTCTGATCAACATCCTGCCGGGCGTCTTGACCTTGTTGTATGAGACTCTAACCCCTGTCCTATCCTCAAGTTACCAATAACAGTCACTAACAACAATGTCTCCAGGAACTCACACCAACTGCCGAGCGAGCCGACGGTCGCAGCGGCCTAATCGTCAACGAAAACGGACGTATCCCCCAAGCCGTTAAGACCTTCCAGCACTACGAAAGCATCTTCTATGCCTTCTACAACAAAGAGCTCAAGATTGCTGACACCGACATGTCCGCCGCCCTTCATGATTGCTACCAGCTTCTCAAGATCGCCGACTACCTAGGCTGCACCATACTTATCTCCAAGCCCATCGAGATCGCCCTCCTGAAACATGGCCAGGATCTCTTCCGCGCCATCCAGAAGAAGCCGCACGCCTGGATCGAGATGTCTTACCGAATCCGCAGCGAACTTATCTTCCGCGAGTGTATCGTTCATCTAGTCGGCAACTGGAGGGTCTTGAAGGCTTCACGCAGCACCCTGGATTACCTACGCGAAGTCCCCGGTCTGCGCGCCTTGCTCGAGAAGTACCATCGCGCGATGCTCGGCCAGTGCAAGGCCGTCGAGCTAGCCGTCATGTCCCTCTACCCCGGTACCATGCGCCTCCCCGTCGAAGACCTACCCATCAAGCGCGAAGCCTACGCCAAAGACATCCTCGTCTGGATAGCACTCACCTTTTTCCGCCACTGGATCGGCCAGCGTCTCATCATGGACAAAGGCCGCCACGCTTCCGACTGCGGCTTCGAACTCTACAAGGCCATCGGCACAGCAGGAGATTCCTACATGGACAAGTCTGTCATCAATCAGTTCCACACCAAGTTCCCCATGACGAAGAAAGCCATGAACGTCCTGGAGAACCATCTGCTCGAGATCAAGGAGTGCATGAAGACCGTCGTCGACCAGCACAAGATCCTCAAGTCAACCTGCCAGTTGGATATTCATCGCTTCCCTGTTGAGTATCTGACCTGCACTGAGTTCGATAAGGGCGATTACCCGTGGGACAAGGACAGCGAGGGTCCTAGGGTGCTTCCGGCGAAGAGGGCGTACAAGCCCGGTGGCAATGACATTGCTCGTAAGAATTTGGATACCGCGAGGATGCATCAGGAGAGGAGTATGAGTATGGAGGGTGAGGAGGAGGAGGGTTCGGTCGAGTTTGAGAGTGATGATGAGGAGGAGGATACCAGGGGTAAGCGGGCTAAGATTGATTAGGTTTTGGATTGAGGTATCCGCCAGGCGGTACTTTTGGGCTGGTTTTGGGCTTCACAGGATGCCGTGAGTGCCTCCTGGGCGTTGTGTGGTTTTTCAAAAGTGAGGGTTAGGTAGGTATGTCGGCGTCAAACGGATCTATGGCTGGACGGAAATGCGGTATTGGGTCGCTTGTAGTCGGCAAAAGGGTCTTTGAGGGCATGGAAATTTCTTGATAATGGCTCGACTGCCTCCACGGTTAGACACAAAATGATGATTCTTGACTGTATTCTTATGGTGTATTGAAGTGAAAGGGAATATTCTGACTTGATATCTCCTTGAATCCGAGTGAAAGCCGCATTCCCGTCATGTCCTCCATCTCCCCTGATATCCTCTACTCGTCATCGAAGCCCGTCGGTCTCGGCCGTTGTCCCTTTGGTACTGTGACAAGTCAGCAAACCGTCTTCTTTCTCCAATTTTCCATATGCAGTCCACCGAATATCCTAGCAACCAGTTCTCTCCATCCGCCACGTACCTGGGTATGTCATAGGGATCTTGGGGATCTGCTCCTCGCCCATGTATCTCCGAATCGGGGGGACGGTAACGACCATTATGGGACCAGCGCATCCGACCATGATGGAGTAGAAGTATGCGGGCTTGTTGATGGAGGCCCATTTCATGTAGCGTATCGGCTGCTGGAAGAAGCGCGGGGAGGGGGGAATGCCGGACATGGTCGCTGTGTTGCTGTTGGTATGTGAGCGCGTGTTTCGGAGTCGCGAGGCAAGTATGCGCGTACGTAGACTATCCCTGGTCGTGCGTCGGTAGATCCGGTAATCAGCAGGCTCAATGCCTCAGTCTGGTGTCGCAATCGCAAGTTGTCGGCGCGAGTTCGTGTTCGTGAGGTCGCAGCCCGTAGCTCACTCACCTCCGCACTCCAATCGGCGTGCAGCGATTTTCCGGGACCGATGGGCTTGGCAAAAGCATACGTATCTCCGTTACAGCTCTCCACACGCCGGCGCAACTCGACAAGTCCAATCTTCGATCAACCACAAGATGAGGTGGTTACTTTCTTTTACCGTCGCCTTCGTTTGGTCGGTGGTGGTGCAGGCCAAGAGTTTCACTGGCAACCGCTTGCTGGTTGTGCTGGAGGAGCAGGCCGAGAGGGAGAAGTACAGTGTGTTCCTAGAGGACTTGACGTGTAAGTTATGGTTTAGTTCAATCTTGCCTGGAGACGTTGTGGTGTCTTCAATTTGCGCAAGGTGCGATGCAAAGACGAGGCATTGGCAGAGCTCCGAAGCCATCGAACTTGCAACTTGGCCTTGCGCAGCAGATGACGCTCAATTGAATCCACTGATAGTGAGCCAATGCTGACACGACTGCATAGCCCGGGGATATACCACATCTGTCGAATCACCAAAAGAGAGCAAGCTCTCATTACTGAAGCACGGCGAACGAGCATACGACCATGTCCTCCTCCTCCCCGGCAAGTCGAAAGGCCTCGGCCCTGCCCTCACCGCGAACAACCTCCTCGAGTTCATGAAGAAGGATGGGAACATTCTGGTTGCCCTCTCGAGCGAATACGCTATCCCTACCGCCGTCCAGGCCATGCTTCTGGAAGTCGACATCAACATCCCAGCGGACAAAGGCGCATTGGTCGTTGACCACTTCAACTACGATGCGTCATCGGCAAAGGAAGAGCACGACGTACTGCTCCTGCCGTTTCCCAAGTCGCTCAGGCCAGATGTCAAGAACTACTTCGCTGGCGAGGGATACATTGCCGTGCCACGCGCTGTCGGCCAGGCTCTTGGAAACGAATCGCCTCTTACCTCGCCTATCCTCCGCGCTCCCAGCACCGCCTACAGCTACAACCCCAAGGACGAGGCTGACGGTGTTGAGGACCCCTTCGCGGTTGGTGAACAGCTGAACGTCGTCTCTGCGATGCAGGCGAACAACGCGGCGCGTCTGGCAGTTGTCGGCTCAGCCGAGATGCTCCAGAACAAGTGGTTCGCTGAGAAGGCTAAGCTAGGCGAAAAGGCCATCACGACTGGCAACCGCGAGTTCGCGCAGAAGCTTTCTGAGTGGACCTTTAAGGAGACGGGTGTGCTGAAGATTGGCAAGCTCCTCCACTACCAAGACGAGGGTGCCAGCAAGAAGTTGAACACCAGCACTGCCATTCCTGAGAACAACCCTGGCATCTACCGTATCAAGACCGACGTCGTAAGTTTATGTTAAACCGTGTTCAAAACCAGCGTACTAACAGACACAGCACTTCCAAGTCGAGATCTCCGAATACACCAACGACCACCTCGCTCCCTTCGTCCCCTCGCCCAAGGATAACATCCAGCTTGAGTTCAGCATGCTCTCGCCCTTCCAACGCCTGAACCTCTCTCCAATCGCGCAGACCGCGAACGCAACCATCTTCGGCGTCGCGTTCAGGACACCCGATCAACACGGCATTTTCAACTTCCGCGTCAACTACCGCCGCCCATTTGTCACAAACATCGACGAGAAGAGGCAGGTTACCGTCAGGCACTTTGCGCACGACGAGTACCCAAGGAGTTTCGAGATTAGCGGTGCGTGGGTCTGGATCGGCGGTATCTGGGTCACCGTCTTGGGCTGGTTGGCATTTGTAGCCGTTTGGCTGTACAGTGCGCCCAGCGAGAAGAGCACAAAGAAGACGCAGTAGATTGGCTACAGGGTTTTGGATGGGAATTTGGACCGGCTATGTGTGCGTAAACAAAATCTTCGTCGGCGATGCGCGGTATGTATATTATGGATGAAGGGCAAAAATAACCCAAAATTTCGTTGCGAATGGAATACCAAAGAATACCACAACCTGCTTCCAGCACCCTTTTCTCGTTCTCCCTAGTATCCTCGAACACTTCACTCATCTCTTTCACGCTTCCGTTTCCTCAAAGCTTACTCTGTTCCTCCAAGACCCGCGGATGCGCTACCTTCCCAGGCTTCAACTTACTCCAATCCTTCTCATACCCCTCTTCCACGTCCGGATACGGTCCTAGCGGCGTGATACTGACCGGGTTGATATCACCATGACTCTTCGTGTACTAAGAACGCGCAATCAAGGTCAGCCACCACAGCACCATGCACGATAATCTGCAGTTCCACTCACGTTCTCCTTGATATGCCTAAAATCCGTACTCTCTTTGAACCCCTCAACATTGTGATACAGATTCTTGAGCCAGTTGTTCAAAACAGGGTAGTCATGGCGTATCGAACCCAGATTCGTCTTGAAATGCTGCGAGTAAACCGTGTCGAAACGGACGATGGTGGGGTATGCCAGGAGATCGAGTTCAGTGAGCTTGTCGCCGAGGATATACGGACCGCCGTTCGTGTGCACAAGTTCTTCCAGTCGATTCAGCGCAGCAAAAAGCGGAACAACACCCTTCTCGTAGCCTTCTTGAGTCGGCGCGAAACCCGCTTTATACACGCCCGCACAAATCAACGACTGCAACCATGGACTAATCTCATCAATCTTCGCGCGTAGCTCCTGTGGATAGAAATTCGTGCCCACAAGCTTTCTCTCACTCTCCAACACAGAATCAAAAGCTCTTGGCAACCACTTCAACATCTCGGCACTCTCATTGTTCACTATACGACCGCTCTTCTTGTCCCACAGAAGCGGCACGCTATATTTCCCCTTGTAAGCTGGGTCGTCGCGGAAGTAGATCTGGTGCATGAATTGGCTATCGAAGAGGTGGTCGGGTGTTGCGTTGGGGTAGCTGGCGTCGAAGCGCCAGCCGGGTTCGCCCTTTGGGTAGGGCCGGACGATGGAGACGGGGAGGTAGGGTTGGAGGTGGTTGAGATGACGGACTAGGTTTGGGCGGTGGGCGAAGGGGCAGAAGAGGCCTGTGTGATACGTTGGTGTGAGTGTTACTTTGGTATGGTGTTATGGTTCTGTGTAGGCTTACCGATGTAGAGGTGGTATCTGTCTTTCTCGGGTGGGAATTCACCTCCTTCTTGGATGATGCCGTGCCAGCCATCGTCGGTGCCGTACTTGTGGATTTCTTGGGTTGACATTTCGTGTTGATGGGATGGATGGATGAGATAGAAGATAGGAGAAGTCAAGAGAAAGTGGTCTATTAGAAGAATCTGTAGCTATCTGTTCATGTATCGTTCGTTATGCTGACTGTTGTGTACAGTACAGTGAAGCTGATGCTCAGCTAGGATGCTCATAGTGGGGTATCTGAACGCCCTCCTCGTAAGCTTATGCAGGGACTGCGGAACTGATTCCGAAATCGAGCCATTTTCGGAACTCAGGTGCAGCACTTCAACTCTTCACAAGTTACACCACAAGGCACACCGCAAGTCTCGGTACTCGTTCGTGCTGTTTGCGTTGAACTTGTGACGCCTTCGGCTGTTTCCCTGCCCCCAGCTTCAACCTCATGGATCCTGTCCGAAGCGGATGCCAGCTCAGGCTGTAGTGTTGCCGAATGAATGCCGTACGCATGCAAACATTCAGAGAAAATCTTGGCTTTGCTCATGAAGCTCGCGATATCAGGGTCGCTGACCACAACATGCGCAGATGCCACAGCTTTCTTCTGATCCAGACGCCAGACATGCAGTTCGTGCACACTAAGCACACCAGGAATGGCCTCCAGATCGTGTTTGACATCCTCAATCTTGACGCCCAGGGGTGCAGACTGAAGCAGAATCTTTCCGCTACGCTTCGTGAGAGGAATTGCAGTGAGAAGTATCATGATGGCGATCCACATACTAACTGCTGGATCGGCGTAGAAGCGGTTGGGCGACTTGACGAACCATATGATGACTGCGGAGATGATGACACCGATGTTGTTGATCGCGTCGCCGATAACGTGGATGAGAACTCCGAGAATACCCAGATCCATTCCATGCTTCTTTGGTTTCGCGGATATGTGCAGGTGATTGGCATGCATTGGCGCAAGTGACATGCTCTCCTCGTCGCCGCTGCTACCAGGGCCGTGGTCGTGATCATGCTCATGTAGGAACAAGGCACTGATGATGTTGAGAGCTAGGCCAACACAACCCACAATCAGGACTAGTTTGGGATTGTCGACGCGTTCAATGGAGATGAAGCGCTCGATAGATTGTAGTGTGATGCTGACACCTAGGGCGAGAAGGAAAGAGCCGTTGAAGAAGGCGCCGAGGAGTGAGGCCCGCGCCCAACCGAAGGAGAGATCTGGAGGTGAGGTTTTGCGCTCTGTCACCTGGACAGCTACCAAGGCTACGATGAATCCGATGAGGTCGTTGAGCTGGACAGAGTGTAAGTGGCTTGACGAAAGGAAGGTACAACGTAGGCATGTAGGATGATGCGGGACTCACATAGTGAAAGGCATCAGCTACCAGGGCAAGTGATGATGTATAGAAGCCTACGGAGATCTCGGCCGCGAAGAAGCAGAAAGAAATGGCTATCACGGCCCTGAGGCGGGTCTTTCGACTGACTTGGAAGCGGCCATGCTTGTGCCCATGCGCACGATGGCCTGGCTCGTGGTGGCTGTGGCTGTGGGCCATGGTGTCGAAGGAATGTTGATATTAGGTGTTAAGAAAGGATTGAGAGAAATCTCATGGTAAAGAGAGGATAAAGATAAGCAAACGAGTATGGAGACCGAGTACCTGCCTGGCTTTATGGACGTTTGTACCATGTTCAGGAAAAAGGTGTGAAACACAGGGACTCAGTGACGGTGCGAAATTCGAATCAAGATATGACAACGGTTAGATACCTAGATGAACCTCTAAGACACACTACCAGTACTATCAGAACCCTCCAAGTTCATGTAGTACTTGTACGTACGGGTTAGTCACAGACTACTAGAATGCGACTGCCTGCAGATTGCGATAGCCATGTAGTCACTGACGGTAAGGACGGGAGCCATCGCGTAGGTGTAGTTCTCGATCTGTCATCGCGATATGTTATCATGTAGTTCTGCCAAACGGTATGTCATTGCCTAGCTCCCGAGGTCGCGTCCAGGGATAAAACGTGGAGCGTATGGAAAGCCGCCGCACGTCACCATGTGTAGCTCAGCGATATGTTACCGAACGATGGACATGTTAAGGGTAGATGCTCTAGCATACGTGATTCGACACAATTTTAGAGCGGCAGTAGATTGCGGTAGCGTGAAAGACAGATTCACATGATAGCGCGGAGGACCTAACCCAATGCCGCCTAACGCCGGAAGTGCCAACACCGCCTTTCGACCAAACGGCCTGGACCCTCCCCGCCGTCGCAAATAATCTCGCAGAACCACCAGCCTTCACACAAACAAATCCTCGGACTTTGATCGCTCTCGACATATATCTCCACTCACACTCAGCGACTGACTATCAGCAAACTACAAGATGGGTAACGGAGCCAAGTAAGCCACTTCACATATATCCAGCAGCCCTGGAACGCTCGCTAACATTTTTCGAAGAGCGCAGCAGAAACGCGACAGGAAGGGTTAGCATCTCACCATAGGAGCCGCCTGTGAGACAGACACTAACTTCGTACTCCAAACCTACAGGCGATGCCGGTCCCAAGGAAGCAAAGAGCCAACTGAAAGCCGTACGTAACCCCGCTCCCTTGCGCGATCCTGCAACGTCGCAGTTCCGCATTCAAATCATCGTTACAAGTCGCACTGCTAACAAGACGCCAGAACGCCGCCGCCCAGACCATCAAGTGCAAAACCTGCTTCCAAACCTTCCAGGGCACCACGAGCCGCAAGATGCTTACCGATCACGCAACCAACAAGCACAGCAAGGAGTTCGACGTCTGCTTCAACGCTGACGAGGGTGTTGTGAAATAAGCGACCAGACTTCCGAGCGAGTGCACGACGACAACGGACGATACTACAAAGTTTGCTATTTACACGAGCATGAGATACCACGGGCGAGGAGTGAGGAGTTGAAAGGGGACGGCCATGTATGGCGATTTGACGAGGCATGATACACAGGCGTAGGGATCGATATATCACGAATCAGACTATTGGCTACCATACGCCTTCTTTTCTCATACTGCTACCGAGAGGCTGTCTCTTCTGTGACCGACTGACGGTAGTGATTCAGTGTTGAGGAACCTAAGATTAACGACCTTCCAGGGGCACAGATACGAGTTGTTGGACCAGCGTAAGCGGGAGACGACGCGTGTAACAAGCACCTGGCCGAGATACTGAGTATATAAAGCAGACACGTGCTGTTGGCCGATTCGACAAAGACTTGGGAAATGCATGGACGCGTTGCCACTCACTCCTTTGGAACCACCTGTTGATGCGCTTTAAAAGTCGGATTTCCCCCTAATTCAAACAAGCCACTTTAAAGATGGCACCTAAGCATAGCCTATGGTGCGACGCCATTCTGGTATTGCAACACTTCACTTCAACATCGTTATCCTGTGTTTATGTATGATAAGCGCGCATATCTCGCGTCTTACTTGATTAGGTGATCCGCACAGTAGAGTCGAACTTGCAGTCCTGGTGTGCAGCGCGCATACCTATACAAGAAAACCCCGTCCCGAAAACAGACAAACCGAGGTGTAACGTACAACAGTAATGTGTACAGTGTTCCTACATTGCCAATCACCACCATCCCTAGTTCCCGTCTCAGGCCTGGCCAAGTCTAGCCCGCGGTGCAAACCCCACTTCCACCCCACCAACGTACTTCATCACGACGCAGGGTTTTGATCTCGCCACAACAGATTACTATGGGATCTTTCCCCGTTCTTCGCCTTCAGCTTCGTCGTCTGTTTTGCAAAACCCGGGATATAAGAGTTGCACTTTGCGTTTTCTCCATCAATTCCCTATCACAACCGTCTCCTTAGCTCAATTGGGAGAGCGCCAGACTGAAGTCTCAGTCACTAAATCTGGAGGTATCGTGTTCGATCCACGAAGGGGACAACGTGCTCGAGCTTGCTCGAGATTCTTCGAACCATTCTTTTTGCGGATGTAGGTAACATGGCGGGTGCGCCTAGCATGCATCCCTTTTGCCGGCGTTGGCGGTTTGTATGAGAACACCAGGCCCCGGATTACTCTAATGTGTACTATCACCTTTGCGCATACAACGAGGTAAACCTGGCGGACATCATAGGCTTGTGGACTGTGGGTTTTAACCAAGCGCACTGGAAGGCCATGAGGTGCTTTTGTTTTGAGCACCTGTATGTCATAAGGGTGATACCAATCATTACACCAAGATCCTGATCCTCGCTCTCTTCTTGGTCAGCCTTTTTGGTGCACTTCGCGTGCTAAACTCCCAGCCCTCTTTGTGAAAACCGAAAGCATCGTATTGTTCCCCGAGAAACACGCTCTGTGACAACCCTCATATCGCCAACCTGTTGTTGTCCGTCCATCCCACCCACACCCCACCAATCTCCCTCGCGATATCCTCCGCAGTCCTTCCATTCGCATCCCTCAGACTCCTGATATCGATCTTGTCCTCCGTAAGCCCCCTCATAATACCCATAGCCTCCGCCTCTTGGAAGACCTGCGTAGGGAAGTCCAGTAGCGGATAGTTACTCGCCAGCAGCAGTAACAACCACGCGACCTCCCTGCTCTGCGCATGCACTGCCGCATGTAGCCCCGACTGCATATCCCCGATCGGGTCCTGGTATCTCAACATCCTGTCAATGCCCACCTCCTTCTCCGGATGATCCGTAGTGCTCATCTCGACATCGCCCTCGTCGTCCTCGCTATCATCGTCATCGTTCAGCAGCAGCTCGACTACAGCCTTGTAATCGCCTTCGCGACAGAACTCGAGGAAGGCGCGCGCTTTCCTGTCTTCCGGGTACGCTTTCAGGTATGATTCTTCGGTGAGGAGGGGCAGGATATCGAGGTTCTCTTGGATTCCGCCTTCGTTGTTGAGTCGGCAGAGGACCTTTTGTTGGCCGTCGCCTGTGCTGGAGATTTCTTTGCCGCAGTGGGGACACGAGGTTATTTCGTAGGCGGAGAGGAGACAGTCCCTGCACGTCGTGTGTTAGCGATAGTTTGCGATTGCGCAGAAAAGGCGTTGCGTACCAGTGGAAGTGGCATCCGCAGGTTAGCTGGACGTCATCGGGATATGTTTCTGGTGCG